ATTCTTTGGCTTTTGGTCAGACTCAGTCACTGCTGTGAGTTTTTGCAAATGGTGGATTGGATTATTGTAAGGGAGTCACTCTTGTAATGTGACCTCTGACTCCACTCTCTACCAATCAGAGACCATCAGACTTCTGTCACGTTTCTCTGGTACCACAAAATGATTTCTAGTGGAAAACCCTAGCATGGAGCTGTAGATCAGCAGAATACAGCCAGAAAGTCTCTCCCATGTTTTATGGAAGACATATTTCTCTTTCATAAAACTGTTTGAATCCAAACAGTTGACACATGGTTACGTGGTCATGAGACATTCATATTTTTATAAACCTTTCCTACAGTGCAGATTACATATGGGAGCCCCCGTCCCATTTCAGTAAGTCACTCCCCTAGCCGATGCGGCTCCCACTCTTTCCCTACATCCTCTAGTTTGTTTTTATAAAATGGTCATGGACACTTTTCTTTTGTTTGATACTTTTTCAAGTTACTAAAAGGTTTTACTGCATCAAAGCATGTGGGCGTGGGCCATCCTCAAAATCTGACCATTCGCCAGTGTGGAATAACTTCCTTATACATCACATGCATGAAATATTATGTGTGTCAGACCACCACTGATCACGATTAGTGACATCACCTTAGTTCCACCCCCTTTGGACAGGAAGTTGACTGTTTTTCTGCTAGTTCTCCTCCTTTTACTCTGTGATTCACACAGGTTTAAACATGTTTCTGATGACATATATTTACTAAAAAATATACAGTATGCCCCCCACCCCACCTTCTTTAAATCAGACAAAATTGGTGTCAAACATTTGTGTTACGTTTGTGCAGCAAAAAATTGTGTTTCTGACGCTATCATTTTAAAGATAAAGAGAAATGTTTCTAGAGGTCATGAAAGGTCAACCAACCTTCTTCAAATCAGACAAAAAATCTTTGGCTTTGAAAAATATTTTCAAAGCCAAAGCAGCACAAATGAAGATTTTTACTGCACAAACCAGCACAAATGTAGTCGAGTTGATTGACACCATTTTGTCTGATTTGAAGAAGGTGGGAGGATGGGAGACCTTTCATGACCTTTAGAAATATTTATTTTTATCTTTAAAATGATAGCATCACAAACAAACATTTTTGCTGCACAAACGTAATACAGATGTTTGACACCAATTTTGTCTAATTTGAAGAAGTTGGGAGGGGAAACTTCACTCAGGTCTTCCACCTTAATGATTTCAGCCTTAGTTATTTTTTTCTGTTTTAGGAGCTTAAACAGAACATTTCCATTTTTGTGGAAAATGAGCTGAAGAAGATCCAAATGGTTCTGGATTCAGATTACCCAGATGTTCTAGAGGGGAATGGGGATGATGATGGTTTAGAGGGTGAAGATAAAGAGCAAATGAAGAAGAGCAGAAAAGCTTTTGAGACAATCACACAACACTTCCTAAGAAGGATGAACCAGGAGGAGCTGGCTAACCGTCTTCAAACCAGTAAGACGATTTCTCTATAGAGTTAATATGCTGGAAGATTGATAAGTAAATTTATCTGTTAATTTATTCCTTATGTTAGAGTTAGTTTGGTTTTTATGGGGGGCATTAAGGATATTTAACCAGTAGGTATAGATCATGTCTGGGCCAAATACAGTTCAATTATTCAAACTTATACATACTGGTTGGTTGCTGTGTGAACATTCAGTGTTAATCTGCCTCTCTTCTTACCCTGATGTGCCTTTCATTCTAGAAGAGAGTAAATTTGGACTCATCAGATCGATTGACCTTCTTGTGTCACAATAGATTCATAGCTTTATGTTGCCTTACACGTTAAAGCTGTTTTCTCCAGTTAACCTCATTGATTAAAGGTTTTCTTATGGCTACTCTACTGTTCAATAAATGCGAGTTCCCTTCACATTGTGGAAATGCTCATTCTTAGACCTGTCTTTCATTGATCTTTTCCTTTGATTTTATTTAACTGAACACTTAAGTGATCACCAATTTCAGTCATTCAGGGTTTTGTTTCCTTACATACTTTTCAAATAATGTGTTAGTTTTAACCCGACTTTAGTCTCTGGATCTCCTTATGTTTTCTCTGCTTGATGCCAATAATTTTATGCTTCTAAAACAGACTAACATCATTTCCACAGCAATAGGATGGGTCTTTCCACATGGCTGTTTAACATTGAGAAGCTACTCATTGCATCAGTTGGGAATAAGTAACACGTTGCCAGATACCAATCAGTAACCATCCAGTAGGAAGCTCATATTTTCTCAATTATATTCAGGTGGCATTTTTTCCTTATGGCCATACATTAGGATTTAAATAATTGGTTCTTAAATGTTTTGTTTCATGGCTTATAAAAAAAGAATTAAGCAGAAACATTTGTGTCATTTCTACAAATACATGAATGTTTTCAAAATTAAATGAAAAGAAAGTGAAAAAAAAAAACATTTTAATTATTTTACTTTGTTTGCATTCTTTAAGGTTTACATCAAACACTGAAGTCTAGCATGAAGAAGAGGTTCAAACATGTGTTTGAAGGGATTGGTAAATCCAAAAATAACACTGCCCTGAATAGAATCTACACAGAGCTCTACATCACAGAAGGAGACTCTGGAAAGGTCAATGTTGAACATGAGGTCAGACAGATTGAATCAGTGTCTTGGAAACCAGACCAACCAGAAAAAGCAATTAGACACGAAGACATATTTAAACCCTCACCTGAAAAAGATGAACCAATCAGAGCAGTGATGACAAAGGGAGTGGCTGGTATTGGGAAAACGGTGCTGACACAAAAGTTCACTCTGGACTGGGCTGAAGACCAAACCAACCTGGACATCCAGTTCATGTTTCCATTCATGTTCAGAGAGCTGAATCTGTTAAAAGATGAACAGTTCAGCTTAGTGGAGCTTGTTCACCACTTTTTTAGTGAAACCAAAAAATTTTCCAGGTTTGAGGATTTAAAAGTTGTGTTCATCTTTGATGGTTTGGATGAATGTCGACTTCCACTGGACTTCAAGAAAAATGAGATCCTGACAGATGTAAGAAAGTTCACCTCAGTGGATGTTATTCTGACAAACCTCATCAGAGGGAACCTGCTTCCTAAAGCTCTCCTCTGGATAACCACAAGACCTGCAGCAGCCAATCGGATCCCAACTGAGTTTATTGGCAAGATGACGGAGATTAGAGGATTCACTGACCTAAAGAAAGATATATACTTCACCAAAAAATTCAAATATAAGAAGGATGCCAGAATAGTAATCTCCCATGTAAAGAAATCCAGAAGCCTCCACATCATGTGCCACATCCCAATCTTCTGCTGGATCACTGCTACAGTTGTGGAAGACATGTTGAACAAGAAAGATGAAGAAGAGCTGCCCAAGACCCTGACTGAGATGTACATTTACTTCCTGGTGGTGCAGACCAAACTGAAGGTCATCAAGTATGAAGGAGGAGCTGAGACAGATTCAATCTGGAGTCCAGAGAGCCAGAAGATGATCGAGTCTCTGGGAAAACTGGCTTTTGAACAGTTGATGAAAGGAAACCTGATCTTCTATGAATCAGACCTGACAGAGTGTGGCATCGATATCACAGCAGCTTCAACATACTCAGGAGTTTTCACACAGATCTTCAGAGAAGAGAGAGGGCTTTACAAGAACAAAGTTTTCTGCTTTGTCCACCTGAGTGTTCAGGAGTTTCTGGCTGCTCTTCATGTTCAACTGACCTTCATCAAATCTGGAGTCAATCTGATGGCAAAAGGTGAAATGAAATCCAAGGAATTGGAAAAAAGACACCAGGAATCCTCAGAGACAGAAATGTACAAGAGTGCTGTGGACATGGCCCTAGAGAGTCCAGATGGACACCTGGACCTGTTCCTCCGCTTCCTACTTGGTCTTTCACTGGAGACCAATAGACGTCTCTTAGGAGGGCTTGTAAAACAAACAGAAGAAAGGTTGACAGCTAATAAAGACACAGCCCAGTACATCAAGGAGAAGATAAATAATGATCCATGTGTGGAGAAATGCATCAATCTGTTCCACTGCCTGAATGAACTAAATGATCAATCTCTGGTGGAGGAAATCCAACAATCTCTACAAACAGGAAGTCTTTCAGTACATAAGTTGTCTCCTGCTCAGTGGTCAGCTCTGGAATTCATCCTACTTTCATCAGAGAAAGATCTTGAGATGTTTGACCTGAAGAAATACTCTGCTTCTGAAGATTTTCTACTGAGGCTGCTGCCAGTAGTCAAAGCCTCCAGCAAAGCTATGTAAGTGCAGATTAATTAAATTAAATAATTTTTTCTATTTCATTGTATAAACTAGTAAACAGCAAAATAATGAAGCATTTCTCTGGGAACTATGTGAAAAACCATGTGAGAAAGCAGCAAAAATAAAATTACATGTTTTTACTGTTGTGTTTCATTACATTGAGACATTTATGTAAATGAAATGTATTATTATTACTGTACCTCAACCTCCATGCCTTCAGTTTTTTTTTATGACCACGTCACTCTACAATACTTTCTATTATGACTGCCACTAAGACATGCAAAATCCGCATTGAAAGAAGGTGATCTGCAGCACTTTTCAATGTGAAATCAGTGGCACACAGTTGTGCTATTAATAGTATTTCCTCTCTTACATTGCTTGCAACATGGTCACTCACTACAGATGTGATTCTTTTTGTGCGCACAACTTTGTGCTCCTTATTTGTAATCTTTTAAGATCATAGTGCATCAGCCCACATGTAATCTGTATGCATCCAGACCCTAAGGTAGCACACAGAGACTCTGACACAGTGGCAGTAATAATAAACCAATAACGACATCTTATGTCGGTGTCGCATTATGTCTTCATCTTTTGGCCGATCTGTTGTAAAATGTTCATAGTTGGCCAAGATAAATAAAAAAGCTGTCTGATGCAGCTATTTTATCTTTAGCTTCTGCCTTTAAACCGATTTTGGTGCAGCAGCTCATTTTAAACACATAATAATAAATACTGTGTATTTATTTTGTCTCCTTAGACTCAATGGATGTAACCTGTCAGAGAGAAGCTGTGAAGCTCTGTCCTCAGTTCTCTCCTCTCAAGATTCTCGCCTTAAGGATCTGGACCTGAGTAACAACAACCTGGGCGACTCAGGAGTGAAGCTGCTCTGTGACGGACTGAAGAGTCCAAACTGTAAACTCGAAGTTCTGAGGTTAGTTCAAATTTTAAAATCAGATGAAACAAGAGTGAAGATGTGCCGATAAATGTATTCATAAATGTCTGTAAATCCCCAAATTTTACTCCAAACTGGTTTGGAGCATTTCCATTTTGTGGAGCAAGTTTGCGTTGTTCATATTTGCAGTTTGTGATCATTTTTCTTTCACTTCTGTTTTCCATGGTTGCAGCATTTTGTTTGTGGTTGCATTTATTTAGCTAAATTTTAGTTTTTTTCTTATATTTCCTATGATTACAACATTTTTTGTTTGTGGCAACTGCAGCATTTGGTGTAAAACACTAACATTTTTAAACTCATTTTCAATAATAAGAAAATATTCAGTAATAAAAAGCTTGAAGCTAAAATTGTCTGACAAAAAGGATGATTGATGTCAAGGTTGCTGAATGCACAAATGTCTTGGTGTAACATTTCTACCATTTCTTCTCCACTGCTGCTGTAACATGAGAAACTTTAAGCCACTCTGCAAATTACTGATTAAAACTAAGAAGGCAGGTCATCAGTTTTTTACAGGGTATTGTTAGTAAATGTTTTTGCATTGTGCTGTTATGTTTGTTTTGTCTGCAGGCTTTCAGGATGTCTGATCACAGAGGAAGGTTTTGCTGCTCTGGTCTCTGCTCTGATATTGAATCCCAAACACCTGAAGGAGTTGGACCTGAGTTACAATCATCCAGGAGAGAGAGGAGCTCAGCCTCTGTTAGCTGGACGGGATCATGCAGACTGGAAGCTGGAGACTCTGAAGTAGGGAAACCTCTGCTGCAGCTTAACAGTGTTATTGTCAGATACTGTATAAATCTACATTACTGGCATAATCAGTTACATGCCATTACACTTCATTAGTGAAGCATACAGTCCACTACCATCTTTTTCTACAATGAAACTAAAGCATCTTGTTAAAGTATTTTTTTCTTCCACATTTTGCTTGTTTCCAATCAAATTTTAATTGATTTTCTGTGACACAGCATGGTAATTTGACCAACAACTAAATGTCTAACTGTCACTTGGTGATAATGATGGTATGAAAGCCAAAAATATAATTAAAAATACAAACCTTGATCACAATATTTTGGTATCCCTTCTCTCACACGTTTGCTGTATCCCATAGATGGATTGTTACAAACTAGGCTGCACTGTTTTTTCAGAACTAAATTTCTTTTTCCCACTCTTGCATAAAACCACATACATGACATAAAAAGACACTGATGTGATTGATGTGAATATCTGACCTCTTCCAGGGTGGAACCTGCTGGAGTCCAGTGGTTAACAGCAGGTCTGAGGAAGTGTAAGTGTGTTTTTCATGTGATTTATGATAAAGTGGTCTGAACATCCATTTATTTGTCATGATCAAAACAACTCCAGTCATTTAAACAGTTTATTGATCAGTTTATTGATCAGTTCTTCAAGTTGATTCATGTTTCTCCTGTCTTTCAGATTCCTGTCCTCTCAAAGTCGACATGAACACTGTAAACAGATTCCTCAGACTATCTGAAGGCAACAGGAAGGTGATGCTTGTGGAAGAGGAGCAGCCATATGATGATCATCCAGACAGATTTGATTTGTATCAGCTGCTGTGTACTGATGGTCTGACTGGTCGCTGTTACTGGGAGGTGGAGTGGAGTGGGAGGGTCTATGTATCAGTGAGTTACAGGGGAATCCAAAGAAAAGGACAGACTGATGACAGCTGGTTTGGATTTAATAATAACTCTTGGAGTCTAATCTGCTCACATGAGGGTTATGCTGTTTGGCATGATTGTAAAAAGATTTTTAAGTGTTCACCCTCTTCCTCCTCCAAAGTGGCTGTGTATGTGGACTGTCCTGCTGGGACTCTGTCCTTCTACAGAGTCTCTTCAGATGCACTGATCCACATCTACACCTTCTACACCAAATTCACTGAAACACTTTATCCTGGATTTGGGTTCAGGAGTCGTTCAGGAGTCTGTTGGTGCTCATTTTAGAGTCATTCTAAGTCAGAGGGAGGAAACCTCCCTTTACACTGACATTATCTGGTGCCTGTCTATGAAGTTGGAAAAAGATTCTTAAGTTGCACTTTAAAGTAAATTGTAAGCCAATGTTGTTCCATAAAGATTGGAGTTTCATTTGAAAATGAAGAATTTTATCAAAAGCCAGGAAGCAGCATTTTAAATAACCGTCCTAAAGAGGTTTTGCTAAGATCCTCAGAGAGCATTCGGTAGTTAAGGAAAAACATGAATATTTATTTCCATTTCAATTTGTGAGACAATAGAAATTAGTTCAGCAGATGCATCCAAATTAAAACCAGAATGAAAGTTTTGCCAATGTTCTTTCCAGACCTCTGGATTCTTCAAGTGTTTTCTTAATCCTTGACATGTTTTTTCTTTATGTACACTTTTATTTATCCATTCATGTGAAAACTGGTTAAGAAGTAGTTTTTCTCAGCTGCTGTTGTCTTGTGAAGGCAATATAATGTCTACATGCATTATTTACATTTGTTTGAATCGCACCATATTCTAATGTTACTGTAATAAAACTCTTTCCTGTGATTAAACTAACAAGTTGGTGACATGAAGGGAGTAAAAGTACTTGACTATATTTTTCAGTACTGATATGTTATTATAAACGGAACATAAATTATGTAAAACTGTGTGAAATTTTGCTTTTTAAGGCATTTTATTAATATTTGTATTGCATTATTTATCTACACTATGTTACAGTTTATATGGTGCTGGTTGGGTCTCCCAGTTTTAAAATCACTTTTTAAGCTTTAATCAAGAAAAAACCCATTTTACTTACTTTGGTAAGGGTTCATAAAGAGTGTTCACTTTATGAACACTTGAAGGAGATTTTATGTTTACAGATGTTTAAATAAGGGATTCTATATGTTGACAATAAAATATGTTTAAATGACTGGAGTTGTTTTGATATTCCCGTCACTATGAGTCTGGGGTAATTACTAAAACAGTAAAATATCTCCTGTGTACCAAAGACCAGACATTCAAAAAACCTCAGCAGCTACAGACTGGTAGTGCTGATCTAACATCTGAAGAGGCTGGTCCAAAGACGATGGTGCAAAGAAGGATTTTACATAAAATCAAGATTATGAAAAACCCTGAGCATCCTCTTCATGAAACTGTCAGTAAAAAAAGCAAAGTGTTTTTAGTTGGGGGCTTCTTGAAATCTGATGCAACACAAATTGTTATACTAGATATTTCCTGCCAACAGTCATCACCATCAACAACTTTTTGAGGAATCTTAAATTAATATAACTTACAAGATTTAATTTCCCATTCAGATAAATCACATATTTTTTATTTTAATCAAATTTAATCAAGTTTAGCTTTAAGGTTTTTCAAGGCTCTAATTCTAGAATTACTGACCATCTGAAACATATATCTCAGGTATCAATAACTAAATTATGATTAGTTATAAACTAAATTTGAGACATCCTGATTTTTGTTCTGACTAGTCATAATTCCAATTAAATATGTCTTATATTACATCATAATTCAAGATTTTTAAATGTATTTTTAGATACAATAACCTATAGGACTCGACATGTACAAATTAAATTATAGATACTATGAAAGCAAATAATTCCAGACAAAACTAACAACAGATATCTGAAAGTGTATTTTGGATAAGCTAAAATTAATCTTTTCTTTTTAGATATCTTGAATAATTATTCTGTCAAATCATCTGTTGTTAATATAGCATTTTGAAATTTTATTAAAAAAATAAAAAAATGTATAAAGCATTTTGAAAAGATTCAATTTCTCCCTTGAGAATATGTTGACAAGAGCACTTTTTGCTCTTCTAAGCTGTTTTTAAGTGCATTGTGTTCCTAAAAACAATGTTTTTCAGCGAGCAAATTGGAATAAATTTGCAGATTTCTGAAGCAGTCTTAATTTGCATCGTCCATATGGCCCATACTGCTGAGCTATATTGTTAAATCTAAAGAATTTGACTAGTCATAATTAAGCTTAAGATATCTTAAAATACAATAGTGTGATCCTTTAAATGGTAAATCATGACATTTAAGATTTAAGGCTTTGCTTAGATCCATCAAAATGTAACTGAAGACACATTGAATTATTTTTACTATATTAAATATATATATTGTATTCAATATACAAGATAAATTGAATTGTTATTTTTACAAGTCAGAATGGAAATGAAAATATCCTAAATTACTATTCAGAATAGTCTAAATGTTGTTCTTTTCAGATATCTGGGATGTTCAGTTAAGTGGACGAAACCGATTATATATTAAAACGACCTGCCATAGGATTCTTACCTTGAGAATACACCTGTCATGTCGCGGTGTTGAAAAAAAAAACGGACACGGAAGTTTCACTTTGACCTGTGTTTCAGTTGCGCAGCTACCCTCTAACGGAAGGTAAGACAATCCTTTCACTGCAGACGCAGCTGTGTAAATAAGAATTAATCTATCAATTCGATTCCTCTTTATGGTTTATTTCATGTCACTGGACTCAGCAGCAGCTGGTCAGAAATGAGTCTCAGAACAATTTCTAGGTTTATTGGTTCTCTGCGTTGGAACATGCAATTGGTTCTATTATTACCGCTTGTGTTGCTGTTAAACTCCCCTTACATGTAAATTGATATTAATTATGAATTAAGGCAGATTTAAGTGTTTGTAGGATAAAGATTAAACATTTTAACTTCTGGTCTCTGAGTAGAAACACGTCTCTGAAGATAAGAACCATTGAGATCTGGTCCAAAGGTAAAGGGTGGTAAATTAGTCTTTTGACCCTCCCACACCTACAGTGTTATGCAAAGGTTTCTATAAATCTCAAACTATTGCTCAATTGCTATGCTTTACAACTGCTGCTCCTGTGGTAAAACAAAATGGTGGATTGAGAAAAATAATGACTTTTACAAAAAAGTGATCAATTTTTCCTTTGAAAAGTTTTTAAATACTAACTTGACTGATGCTGGCTGTGTTAAAAAGGACGTTTATCTAGAAATCTTTAGGATTTTAAGGATTGACACTCAGTTACATTTACTTTTAGGAGTTGTTTTTCTACCCCATATGTTTTGCATTTATTTGAGTTATGTGATAAAGAAGTATCGCTTCTCTTACTTGAGTAAAATTTCTGACTAGTGTGAAGTAGATTTTTCTTTAAAGAGAAAATCTACTTCACACTAGTTAATTTCACCGAATGCAGAACAAGCTTACAAGATTCACATCTCTTCACAAAAAATGATCCCTTTTGCTTCTACACATGTTCTAATGTGTTATATTTTCTGAGCCTTTTGTTCCATCTGGAGATCCAGAACATGCATTAAAAGTAAAAAGTCACGGATACAGGGGACACAAACCTTAACAAAACAAATTCAAAGTACAAATGTTGGCATAAAATAAAGCAGCCAAAGGAATGAACTAAAATGTTAAGATTTAAAGGAAGCATTCAAATGAAAATCACAGTTCCAGAGCCACTAAGAAAACACAATGTGCCACAATAATAAACTAGGATGGAATCTAAGGTAAGACTGAAATCAAGGGGGAAAAAAGCACAATCTGAACTGGATACAACAATGAAAAGTCTGAAAATCTATAGATCATGAAAGTTACATTGAACCTGCAAAACCTCTACATAATTTATTTTTTTTTATTTTTTTAAAAAAAAGATCTAAAACGTACATTTGCAGAGTACATAACTTCAAATGCTTTTCCACTAGACCGCCTGTACTGGTACAGTTTTCCACTAGCAGACCCAATCTGTCCGTCTGATTTTATTTTCAGTTGTGTTGAGCAAAGCGTCATAAAATGTTCAACGCTTGGGCTATTGTTTCATTTTCTAATTCTGTTTTAAACTCTTTAAACCTGATCTGTCTGCTGTGTTCGTTGATCTTCAAACGATTTGTTCTCTAAAAGAAACTCAGAGGCCTCTGATTGCACTAGATTTTATTTAGAGGGTTAATATGTAAGCACATTGCAATTTTCAGAGTTTTGTTTGTAAACCATTTGAAATATTAATATTATCTTGATCTATGGCTAAAATACCAAAACATCTGTTTCAATGTGGATATTTTCTGTGAATAATGAGCAGAGGTGCAGCTGATCTCTTATAATCTGTTTTTCTGCAGATCAAGGTAGAATGTGTGTCTAAGTTGATATTGATCTAAATTTCATTATGGAAGCATCTGAGGACAAAGGAGAGGAAGTTCCTTTTTCTGAAACCACTCAATGCAAGGAGCCAGAGGACAAGAGGTGAGATGTTTGTCTCTTCATCACGTTGTCCAGGATGAGCACTTCCATCATTAAACCAACTTTACTTGCAGAAATCAGGCTGAAAGAGAAAGTGATTCATACATGGAGTCTGACCAAACTGACCTTAGACAGCTTTCTGCTACAAAGAAAGAAGCTGTAGTTAAATCACACACGTGTAAAATGTAACTGAATCAAAAAATGTAAAATGTTTCATTGTGAGCAGACGTTGTTCCAATGGGAAGTGGTACGTATTGGATGAATATTATTTTATATAGCAATGAAACATGTATTTTTGAAATTAAGGTGCATGTAAAAAGTTACATTTTTACCTTTATTTTGTAGAAATCAGGATTCACTTTGTCGTTAATGTAACGCAGCATGTAACTTTCGTAAAAAATATATCTTTTACATATTTGTTGAAACTGTGACCATGTTGTGAGTGTGGTGTGAGACAAATAATCTACAAAAAGATCAAGCTGCGCTTAGTACTGTCAATTATTCCTATGTATGTGCTGATCATCCATCCTGTCCCCAGCAAACTGGAGCAATGCTTTTAGCAATGCTACAGCTTCTACTTGGCAGAGTCTGCTACGGTTGCTGAAGCTAGTTAGCATGGTCATCAATGATACAGATACACAGTTTTCCTGTCAATGTAATTTCTTTCTCTGCCATTAGCACATTAAGCAGCACATACACAAGGTTAGCTCACAACATTAAGATCTTATTTCAGTCTCTTATTGGTTGATGCTGACTGGGAGTGGTGCATATCTGAAATAGTTGGAGGAGGTTAATCTCTTCATAGATTGTCTCTCATACCATACTGTCACGACATGGTGACGACTTTAACAAATATGTAAAAAACATTTTTTATTAAAATAACATATTATAGCTTTAAAGAGACTTTTTGGTATTTTTAAAAAAAAGTCTGTTATTGTTCAATCATGTTTGCTTTGCAAGAGCAATAAAAGTCTAAAATGTCCAGTGAATGTTTTTCATACATACTGTAGATTCATGAATCCAAGATGTTTGTTTCTGACCGGAGATGAAAGAGGCGTCTGACTGGCACTGTAATTCTCATCCACAGGAAACAACAAGAACAAGAATCTGGACCAAGCTGTCTGTCCATTAAGAGCAACCAGTCAATTCAGCATTTTCCTGATTTTAACAATGATCAACCTTCAGATGCAGAGATGTGAGCTTCATGGAAATTTTCTAACCGTGTAATATGAGTCCCACTGAAAGTTTTCATTCCAAAAAGAGGTGGAATATAATATAACTGTTTTGCTTATCAAAAAAATTCATTGCAAATCCATCAATAGTAAGATCATTTAAATATTGCACTGCTCTTTAAGGGTAACTTCAGGGCTGCATGATATTAGAAAGTCTCAGTAATAATTGCAAAAACAACAGATGCAATATACAATGCATCTGATGTATCTGAAAAGCTGAAATCCACCAGTACAGTGGTTACCAAAGATTTTCCTCTGGGGCCTCCAATGGATCACAGTAAGATCCTCCCAAAAATGAAAAAATAAAAAATCAACTGGGCACACATATCATTCTACCAGACATAAACTTATATAGAGCTGGTCCATCGCCATGTTTCCTTATTGGATACTACAGCAAGTAGCATCTAACAACAGTTCCTGATTCCTTTCATATCTAAGCTACGCCCTAAAGAGGCTGTTGTCAAGTGTGTCATTTCCTTTAATCTTAGTTTTGTACATATGTGCACATAGCTAGTAGAGATGGAGGGAAACAGAAATATTTATTCCCAGGGTATCAAAGGACGGATGATACCAATGAGTAACCAAATTCAATATGATTCTCAAAGAAGATCAAACATGATAAACATATTGCTAATTAAAGGAGAAAGAGGAAATGAAGAAGTAAAGTAGCACATGTGGAGGTAAAGTTATAAAAAGGAAAACAATGAAATGAGCATTTATAATATGTAAGATAAGTTAATGTGATCTTGCATATTAACTGGATTTTTATCAAATCCAGTTGCCCATTCTACACATATAATCTGGCCTTGAATAGGGTCATATTCTTCTTCCCCCTGAAAATCTGGTCAGATTATCAATTTAGAATCACTTTGATTACTTATTATTTAGAAGATAAGTGCTAAAACACTAAATATATTTTGAGGTATTTTAGGAATTTTCTAAATTCGCAGTCTCAAGTTCAACATAGAATATGAAATTTTTAAATTGTATCACTTAGGTTTTATCTCTATAATATATCCCCCTGTGCTTTCTTCTCATAAAAGAAAATAAAAAAACAAGTATAACTCAAGAATTTTGAGTTAAAGGCCAATTTGTTAACATCAAACCATCTTATGAGCTATTTTTCATTACTTCCGACAATGTATATGTGCTTTAAGCTCATGATTTCTCCATAGATTCAAGCAGAGCCCAGACGATGCTGGTCAACCTCCCCACGAGTTTCAAACACAGCTGGGCTCCATATTTGTGGTCTGTATATATTAGATACAATTTTTTAAATCTCTGTTAATTTTTTACTGCACTTTATAGATCACTTCATTGTCTCAGATTTTTTTTCAGAGGGGTGTTTCATTTCTTACTCTGTTTTAGGAGCTGGAGAAAAATATTGTGGCGTTTGTGAAGGACGAGCTAAAGGAGATCCAAAAGGTCTTGAATTCAGATTACTCCGATGAGGAGAAGGATGTGTCTGGAAATAAGGATGAGAAGCTAAGGAGTGGCAGAAGAGATGCGTTTTTAAAGATCACCATTGACTTCTTGAGAATGTTAAATCACGATGACCTGGCTGACCTTCTGCAGAGCAGTAAGAGAATTATTCTTCTAAAGAAATTGAACAAAATACCATTACAGACTTATTGTATTTGACACCAGGTGTAGATGGCTTCAAAGAAAAACGAAGTCTACAAGAATTTGTTTCATAGATTGAACTTTTACTCTGATGAAACCTAAAATTAAATCCTGCAATTATATTTTTTGTCATTTTTTCAAAACAATTTCTTTTTTTTTTTTTTTTACAAAAGTACTCTAACACATTCCAAAAAATAGAAAATTTGATTTTGTGAAAAAAAAAACCAAAATGGCCTTTATAAAAATATAAAAATGGCCTTTCCATATAGCAATAAACATTTCTACATATCACCTCCGATGCCCACCAGACTCTCAGTTGGCATGTCAACTGTTTGGGATTCCCTTCCGTTCTTATGTCACTGCATTTCTGACTGGCTGCCTGCCACATTCAATAAGCTGTGTTGAATCTCCCAGTCAGGAAAAAACCCACTGACTGCAATAATTGGGCCAAGACAATGTTGAATATGCCCGATTTTAGATCAGGCATATTCAACACACCACACACTGCAGGATGTAAGACTGTCATGAAGGGAAAATTGGGGTAAAAAAACAAGGCTTAATTGGCAGTCCCTCCCTGGGCCGCAGCAAAATTATTAAGTTTTGACTGCGGTAATAATAAGGACCACTGATATCTAAAAAATACAAATTTTATTTCTAAAGCATAGTATACACTATATTGCTGAAATTATTTGCTCACCTGCCCTCACTCGTATATGAGCTTTAATGACATCCTCTTCCTGAACCATGGGGTCAATATGATATTGGTTCACCCGTTGCTACTAGAACAGCTTCAATTCTTCTGGGATGGCTGTCCACAAGGCTTAGGAGTGTTTATGGGGATTGACCATTCTTACAGAAGCGTACATTTGTGAGGTCACTGTTGAAATAGATTTTTAAATTAGCACAATACCACACAGGATAGCCTTGATGCATATGAAATATATCATAGAAAATTAAAGAACACTCTACGTTCACATAAATTTAGATAAAGATCCAAACTAAAACAACTGGCCACGCTCAGATTTTACATAAATTCTATAGGGAGGGTTTTACAAAAAGAGAGACCTAGACTCCTTAACTGATCTATGGACAGGGAGTCTGTCTGCCAGGCAATTAACAAATTCCTAGTGTGGTTCAAAAGTTCACTAGGATCTTAAAACTTTTTATAAATAATTTTATCCATACTAGAATTAAATATATTTCTTTAAGCATGTTTTGAATTAGTTAGTTTTAGATCCAAACTTATAGTTAGTATTTAGCATTAGATTTTGTTTCAGTAAAACACAAACAAGTTCTAGTTCAATATTTGAGGCAGAAAACAAAACAGGCATAGGTCGTAAATTTAGCCGAGGGAGGGTTTGCAGGAGACGCCTGGTACGGCAAATACCCAGTTTGACAATCCATGTATCTGCCTTTGGGGCTCTTTAGCAGAGGTAATAAAAGTAACGGAGGGAAGGCACACCTTCTAATGCATATATTTAAATTTAGAGAAAGGCACACAATAAAAGTTTTCTTTGCAACAGAATTCGAAATGCTTTTCTGCCCGAGTTCTTTTAAAATCGAATTATATTTCTATTTGTCAATATTTCATTGGACTTTGATATATCTAGGTGAGATGCTTATTGTAACATTCTTCTTGCATTTGATTTTTCTCTGGATAAAACTCTGGATATCTGAAGTCTGCTGTGGTGTGATTGCTCTTTCTCACTGCGCATGTTGAGGCTCAAGAATCCGGGATCAGAGGAATAAATTAACAAGCTAAATCAAGTTATTCCTCTTTAATTCTTAACATCACATACTGCTGTTGGCCGAAAGTGCCTGGCTTTCAGTCTCCACTCTAATTCATCCCAAAGGTGTTCTATCGGGTTGAGGTCAGGACTCTGTTCAGGCCAGTCAACTTCATCCTCACCAGACTCTGCCATCCGTGTCTTTATGGACCTTGCTTTGTGCTCTGGTGCACAATCATATTGAAAAAGGAAAGGGTCAGCTCAAAACTGTTCCCACAAAGTTGGAAGCATGACATTGTCTAAAAAGTATTCTGGTATATGTAGTGATTGACTCTGCAAAAAGTTGGCTACTTGCTACAGCATCTTCTGACCCGGCTCTGACAATTTACATGGCCTACCACTTTGTGGTTGAGTTGCTATTGTTCCTAAACACTATAATTTTTTTTACAGTACATTGTGTATTTTCTTACAGTTTTCTGAAGAAAATGTTGAATGTGAAATATTTAGCAGTGAGAAAATTTTATGACTGGATTGTTGCACAGGTGGCATCTTATCACAGTTCAATGCGGGAATTTCCTGAGATTCTGAGAGGGACACATTCTTTCACAAATGTTTGTAAAGCAGTCTGCATGCCTCAGTGCTAATTTTATACACTTGTGATGAGGGAAGTGATCGGTACACATGATTCAAATAATTTGGATGTGTGAGCAAATATTTTTGGCAATATAGTGTATATATTTCTCTGATGAAATGTAAGTTGCTTTTTACTTTCTTCACCTACAGAAACATGAAAAAATCACTCTTAAATTACATAATTTTCTATTTTTGCTTTATAGAATCATTCATCACATGTCAACAAACACTAAAGTCTAACATGAAGAAGAAATTCCAGAGTGTATTTGAAGGAATTGCAAAATCAGGAAATCAAAACTTTCTAAATCAGATCTTCACAGAGCTCTACATCACAGAGGGAGGATCTGCAGAGGTCAATAATGAACATGAGGTCAGACAGATTGAATCAGTGTCCTGGAAACCAGACAAACCAGAAATAACAATTAGACATGGAGACATATTTAAACCCTCACCTGAAAGAGAAGAACCAATAAAAACAGTGATGACAAAGGGAGTGGCTGGTATTGGGAAAACAGTACTAACACAGAAGTTTATTCTGGACTGGGCAGAAGACCAAACTAACCAGAACATCCAGTTCATGTTTCCATTCACATTCAGAGAGCTGAATCTGTTAAAAGACCAGCAGTTCAGCTTAGTGGAGCTTGTTCACCAGTTTTTTAGTGAAACCAAAGGAATTTTCAGGTTTGAAGATTTAGAAGTTGTGTTCATCTTTGATGGTTTGGATGAATGTCGACTTCCACTGGACTTCAAGAAAAATGAGATCCTGACAGATATAACAAAGTCCACTTCAGTGGATGTTATTCTGACAAACCTCATCAGAGGGAACTTGCTTCCTAAAGCTCTCCTCTGGATAACCACACGACCTGCAGCAGCCAATCGGATCCCCACTGAGTTTATTGGTATGATGACAGAGATCAGAGGATTCACTGACCCACAGAAAGATGAATACTTCACCAAAAGATTTAAATATAAGAAGGATGCCAGAATAGTAATCTCCCATGTAAAGAAATCCAGAAGCCTCCACATCATGTGCCACATCCCAATCTTCTGCTGGATCACTGCTACAGTTGTGGAAGACATGTTGAACAAGAAAGATGGAGAAGAGCTGCCAAAGACCCTGACTGAGATGTACATTTACTTCCTGGTGGTGCAGACCAAACTGAAGGTCATCAAGTACGATGGAGGAACTGAGACAGATTCAATCTGGAGTCCAGAGAACCAGAAGATGATCGAGTCTCTGGGAAAACTGGCTTTTGAACAGCTGATGAAAGGAAACCTGATTTTCTATGAATCTGACCTGACAGAGTGTGGCATCGATATCACTGCTTCGTCCATCTGAGTGTTCAGGAGTTTCTGGCTGCTCTTCATGTTCATCTGACCTTCAACAAATCTGGAGTCAATCTGATGGCAAAAGGTGAAATGAAATCCAAGGAATTGGAGAAAAGAAACCAGGAATCTCCAGAGACAGACATTTACAAGAGTGCTGTGGACATGGCCCTAGAGAGTCCAGATGGACACCTGGACTTGTTCCTCCGCTTCCTACTTGGTCTTTCACTGGAGACCAATAATTGTTGGTTTGGATGCCTTGTGACACAGAGAGAGAAATGCTTAGCAGCTAATATGGACACAGCCCAGTATGTTAAGGAGAAGATTAATGATCAAAAATGTGTTGAGAAATGCATCAATCTGTTCCACTGTCTGAATGAACTAAATGATCAGTTTCTGGTGGAGGAAATCCAACAGTCTCTACAAACAGGAAGTCTTTCTGCATACCAGTTGTCTCCTGCTCAGTGGTCAGCTCTGCACTACATCCTACTGTCATCAGACAAAGGTCTGGAGACATTTGACCTGAAGAAATACTCTGCTTCCGAAGGCGCTCTTCACAGACTTCTGCCAATTGCAGAAGCCACAAGCAAAGTTTTGTAAGTGAAGATGAAGAAAGTTTCATAAAATGAAAAAAAAGAGAAAAGTAACACATCATATTATGTCTGTCCTTTCAGACTGAGTGGGTGTAACCTCTCAGAGAGAAGCTGTGAATCTCTGTCCTCATTGCTCAGCTCAACATCCTCTAGTCTCAGAGATCTGGACCTGAGTAACAATGACCTGACAGATTCAGGAGTGAAGCTGCTGTGTGAAGGACTGATGAGTCCTAACTGTGAACTGGAGATTCTCAGGTGAGATACATTTAAATTCTTCTATTGTTATCATATTTACCAAATTTATGAACATGTTTAAATATGAAGTGGGAAACCTGTAGAGAATTGTTTCACAATGCAGGTCCTCAATTTCAAAGTTGGCAAAAATGTTAAACATAAATGAGCTTTGCTATCAGTGGATTTGTGGAAATGTGCTGACTTGGGCACAGTCTGTTCAAATGAGTGATGCAACCACTTGGCGCATCACATCTGAGCTAGGTTGCCATCCTGGGGCAAAAGTAGGGAGGCCAGCAGAAGGAGTGAGTTGAGGGGATGATGTTTATAGCTATGTGTGTGTCTGTAACTAAGTCAGTGAACCAGATAGCTCCCCTATCCCCAGCCATTGTCCTTGATAATTGATGGAGAGTTTATCAGCTGATTCAGGTCCATGGATGTCATGGAGAAGGAAGCAGATAATGTAGACAGAATCTTGCTTACATGATATCCTGGAGAAATTTAGATAGCCTTCCCAGGCTGACTTAGGGGTGCCAGGTCAGAAAACAACAATTTCCATCTGCCTTAAAGTCAATTCCACCAAGCCAAACTTCCTACTTCTCCAAGGACTCTTCCCTCCTCCCAGCAAGTTCATGAAATGTAAGTAGCCAGCATCTTAGTGTTTATAGCATGGCATAGTCCCTTATACAGGCTGGGCAGCATCACAATGGCCAAAAACTGCCAACGTTTTACAAATTTCTCAATATGCCAGTTAATCACCAACTCCAAAAACAGAAATTCTATCATCAAAAATTCAATGATATACTTATCTTCCACATCCTCGACTGACAATATGGACAGATATACTGTCTTCCTCTCTCCCCAGGAATTCATCGTATTTCCAGCTGCAAATGTCCCATCTCGGCAAGAGGGCTCTCCTTTGCCCTGTCTTCTCGAGAAAAATTTGATCAATTGTGTTGAGAGTTGCTGATCAGATCCTTGATTTACAACTCAGAAGATATCCAAAGAGAGATTCCAAAAAGACAGCACAAAACAGAGCAAAAGTAGGGCAAATAGGGGAGGTAGTGGCAGAAGAAAAAGTTTCCACCTTCCCTGAGAGAGAAAAGAGAGAATTTTGACTTAATTTTGACTTAATTTTGACTAAATTAACTAAATTAAAGCTGTATAATGATACCTGTATGTTTTCATTTCTAAATTTTAAATCTTAAAAAGTGTGTACTGTTTTTGACCTTGTTTAGAGTATTGATGTCATGGCCTTAAATTTTTGCACACTAGACTTTCTTATTCCTAGGTATGTTCTCAGATATCAGTTATTATCTGTTATTGGTCTGTGGAGTGTGAAAACTACCGTATGTTTTTTTTCTAAAGTTAGCATGTGTTAAGAATTAAGAGAAATATCTTCACTTTGCTTGTTAATTTCCTCTGTGTCCCAGGTTCTTGAGTCTCTGCGTGGGCAGGGGAAATAATAAGATCAATCATAAAGAACAATTATTCCACATCAGACTTCAGATATCTAGAGCTTTATCCAGAGTATTCAATGCATACAGAATGTCACATAAGCATCTCACCCAGATTATCAAAAAATCCAACATGTGACAACACATAAATACCAGCAATGAGTTGTAAGAAAACAAACAGAAAATGCATTTTCCAGGAATTGCACACTCAGGCAAAAAGCAATTCGATCTTCCTGCTGTAAAACAAAGCTTTTTATAAGAATGTATATTCATTAGAAGGTGTGTTCTTCCCTTTGTGGGTGCTGGCTTAATGTTAATTTTATTACTGCTGGAGCCTGCTAAAACACCCAGATCTTCTTGTGCCAGCCTCCTGCTTTTACCTCCCAGGCCATGATTTATGATGTGAAGCTGGAGCGTTCTCAGCCTCAAATGATTCAACAAGAAAGTAGTTTGTATTTTAAACAAACTGGCACAAAATCTTATGCTAAATAATAACTATAAGTTTGGATCTAAAAACTCCAGTGTCTTTTATTTTAAGAAAAGCTCTTTTGAGAATATCTGAAATATTTTAAAAGTAAAGTAGTTTTCTAATTTTATTGTATTTTAGTAATATAAAATGTATGCAAATAGTGTGGTTAAAACTAATCCAAAACATGTTGCTCAATGCTTAAAAAAATCTCTTAAACATTTTATTATACTTTGGAGAAGACTTCTAAAGTTTTAATGTTCTACCAAACTTTTGAACCCACACCAAGGAATTTGTTGATTCTAATAACAGACTCCCTGCCTGCAAATCACCAAGGGGAGTTCCACACTGTTTATCTAAAAATTCTTCCCTATAGATTTACGCAAGTTCAGAGAGTCACTGGCTGCCCCAGTCTGGATCTTTATTCTATCTAAATGTTCATGCTATATTTCATATGCATAAAGGTTGACCTGTCTCTACAGTTATGCTCACTAAACTTATATTCTCAACACATGCCTCTCTGAAAATTTACCAATATTACCAATTTTGTCATTCTGATGTTTCCAGAGTAATAATGTGTGATATTAAATATTATCTTTTCAGATGATCAGGCTATCTACTGTGGCAGTCAGCATGCAGACTGTTGTTTAACAGTGACATACTGCTCTACCTCTTTTAGAGGCTAATGAATATACAGTTTTAGCATGCTAATGAATGACTCCTGTTTAAAAGTTCTAACCTGTGCTTCACTTGTAGAATATGGGTGAATTTTTTTAACAGTGTTGTATGTTTGTGTCTGCAGACTTTCAGGTTGCCTGATCACAGATGAAGGCTGTGCTTCTCTCGCCTTGGCTCTGACTAAGAACCTGTCTCACCTGAAGGAGCTGGACCTCAGCTTCAATTGTCCAGGAGAGGCAGGAATGGAGAGTCTAGCAGCTATACTGAAAAATCCAAGCTTTAAATTGGACTCTCTCTGGTAAAGAATTATTTTCTGCAGTTACACAGAACTACTCTTGTTCAATACTGAACTCAGAATTGACACAAGTGTAAACACTGGAATTGAAGGTGTTGCCCAGGCTCATCAAATATTTCAGGCTCATCTAAATTCTTCTTCGTCTGTAGCTCAGGCTGTATTCTAGTCGTTGACCTACTGGCATTTGAACTTTGTTGCCAGTCTGTATTATTATGTCTGTATTGCAGACAAAAATTGAAGAGAGGAAAAATAAACCATCTACTCTGAACTAAACTGATATTACCAGGATAATGTTCTGTATGGGTTACAGTAAGTCAGTGATGGTGAATGGGAAAAAAAACCTCACAAAACTGACCATCAAAACACTTCTTGTCTTATAGCATGGAGCCTGCAGGAGACACTTGGTTGGTACCAGGGCTCAGGAAGTGTGAGTGTATTTAATTCACTAATTTAGTATATTTTTTATGACATTCATCACTGTGTCAGTGAATTAAGAAAATTATACATCACTAATTGTGTTGTGTTTGTTCTGTCTTTAAGATTCCCGTCCATTAACAGTCGACCTGAACACTGTAAGCAAATTTCTCAAACTCTCTGAAGAAAACAGGAAGATAACACGTGTGGAAGAGGAGCAGCCGTACCCTGATCATCCAGACAGATTTGATTCCACTCAGTTGCTGTGCACTGATGGTCTGACTGGTCGCTGTTACTGGGAGGTGGAGTGGACTGGGAGGGTCTACATATCAGTGAGTTATAGGGGAATCAAAAGAAAGGGAGACAATGACGACTCCTGGTTTGGCTATAACGATAACTCCTCGAGTATAATCTGCTCAGATAATGGTTACACCATTTGGCTCAATAGTGAAAAAAAAGCTTTCATCCCTGTTCCCTCCTTCTCCTCTCCCTCCTTTGTCTCTGACAGAGTGGCCGTTTATGTGGACTGTCCTGCTGGGACTCTGTCCTTCTACAGAGTCTCTTCAGATGCACTGATCCACATCTACACCCTCAACACCAAATTCACTGAACCTCTTTATCCTGGATTTGGATTTGAGTACAGGACAGGTTCTTGGATGTCTTTGTGTTGACTTTAAGCCCCCAAGCTTTAGTGATTATCATTATTCATCTTGACTAAACTTTCACAATAAATATAATGTATTTTTCCAGACTTTTAGTCGTTCCAGAGGATAAACCACATCAATCAAAAAATATTATCACACAGAAGTAAAAATCCAACCTGACCCGGGCTGAGCTTGTACACATTATGTCCGAGCCCGACCCGACTAACTTTGTTGGCCCAAATTAAACCTAATATATTATCTTACTTAAGATTTTGTTATTTCATTTTTAGATTGTAATTTGATTGTAGCAGTGTACATTCTGCTGTTTTCAGCTTTTGCTAAACATCTTTCAGCTCCATGTTGTTGCTTGTTGTAACCTCAGGATGAGTCAAGTGCAAATCATCTGGGATGTTTCCAACAGACTAAACTGTTGAGTTTAGCTTGAAAGTCAGAGCACCGATGTCTGTGCTCTGAGAGGCGCTTGCATTGCATGAAGCGGTAACAAGAAGGCTGTTACTGCTCATTTCTGCACTACCAGGGTGTGGAGATGTAGCTCCACCATTGACAAGCCTCTTCCATCAACACGTTTTTCAAAAACCCATCTGTGGACTCATTTCTCAGGCTCTGGCCATCTTGCTTTCACTCCGGATTAGCTTTCTCCACAAATGGTAACATTAACTCCTCAGTTCATGTCCGTCAGTATAATATTTAACACATAAATGCATCATAAAGAGGGAAAAGGTGGCACCTGATTATTAGTCGCAGGACCACCAAACTATGAAAAAAAGTGTGATAGTTTGAAAAATATATTAAAAAGGAAACTGAACTTTGATCTTTAAAAGACAAAAACTGATCAATCATTCAATAAATTGGCAGCTGTTAAAAACAAGCCAGTCTTTTCTTCCTATTAATCCATCCATCCATTTTCTAACACCATTGTCCTTATGGGGGTCGGGAGAGGTGCTGGTGCCTATCTCCAGCGAATGTTGCTCCAGCATGGTGCATTGTGCATATCATTCCCATTTGGTGGATCTATATTGTTACTATTGGCTGAACAGTGAGTACACACTATGAGTCCTCCTTTACCCTTAGGGACAACACACTGTTGGCACCAGAGCCGACTTAAAACTTTGACTTCTGTTGGGTTGTGACAAATCTGGAAATAATAATTCCAACATGATAGTTGGATAGTTGATTCGTCCAACTAATAAGTGAAAAATTAGTTCTACTAACACTTTTTCTTCCTTCTTTGCCATCCTTTCACAATGACACTACTACTGGTAATACATCTGCTCTCAGATGTTGCAGAGTCTGCAGCTTCTTTGAAAAGGGATTATAAGGAAATGGGGAAAAATACTGCTAGATTCCTCATGTTCTCTCGGTTTTGTTTTTTCATCTTTAAAGAGAACAAAAGATATATTTTTATAGTGAAGCATCGTAATCTATAGTTGCTTAATTCTACACTTTATTTCAATGATTGTTTGTTAAAATCCTGTAAGCACTTTGAGATTTTTGTGTTATTCTGCAAATGAGATCCTTTCACTTTTGTGCTTGAATTGGGTTTTTTTCTGTTATGACCTTTGTTTCTACAAGATGACATTGTAGTTAAAAGCTAAAGAAACTGAGCTTTAACCTTTTTATGGGAGTGGGTGGGCAAATAAAACCTCTTTAATGTTATACTGGTGAAAATAATATATTCTGAAGAGTATTAAGCATCCAAATTATAGTTTTGGGTTTACTTGTTTATCTTTTTTTTTTTTTTTGCATTGTTTCCATGACAACAAGTATAATCTATTTTTAATTGTGTGCCATTCAGTGGTACAATGGCAGTATCTAATGTAACTTTTACGATATGCTGAAGCCTGTTTATAACTGGAAGTCCTGAGATGTTGATTATAAACTGACTAACAAACAGGCAGCCATACAATCCCATTGCTTAAAATGAAATTATTTTTAAAACATTTTATCATGTCTTTCACTTTAATTTTACTAAATTACACAATATTGTAATCAAAAGTTGAATATGTGTCACATATCCCTACTTCTGTGTATTTGATGTAATTTTTTTATGTGGCCACTTGTTACATTTTGGTACATGATGAACAATAAAGATAAACATTGTTGTCAGTAGGCTTTGGTTTTTAATTAGATTTTTCTTGTTACACTTATATCAGTAATAAATTAAGTTGTGGATATTTCATATACTGTAAGTAAAGACATTATTTTCACACCATGGTAAACTTTTTGCTAACCAGAGAAAAACTCAGGTGAGGTGACCGCCTTTAACTGTCCTTATCCCTCCATTATGTCCTTGAAAACAGGAAGATGCACCCACAGCACATAACTTTATTTACAGCAACAAACCTGGAGATGACTGTAAACACAAAAGAACTGCAAATCCAGAAACGAGTCCGGTACAGGTGACTCGTAACGGTTTCTGTCTATTGATTTTAAATAATCTACAAAGTTGTGTGCTATGTCTCATGGTCTAAAATCTAAATAAATCAGCTTTAATGTTCTAACCTCAGTATGCACAGTGCCACAAAATGATAACACGGCTTAAAACTGTCACCATGTTGTGACAGTGCAATATATGACAAAGATATTAGGGAGAAACAATGAACCTTCTCCCTGTGGTTGTACTGCTACCTGCAAAAATACACAACTAGGTAAAAAAAAACAACAGCCAATAAATGGTTTTCCTCTAATATTAGGTTGTTTCTGTGCCATTAGACAGCTACTGCAAACTTAGTACAGCTGAGTTTCTTTGCAATTAATACTTTAAAGTTAAAATGTAGTGGAACAGTGCAAATTAATTAATTATTTACCTCCAAAGTGGTAAAATCAATGTATCACTTTTTTTTCCAACAATATTTTTATTATTTTAGATTTTTTTCCTTTTTACACATACAACTGCCTTAAACAAATACAAACAAGACTAACAAGCACCCTCTTGGTTACATGTATCTGCATATATCTTTTTTTTTTTTTTTTTTTTAAGTTCACATGAAGCGTAGTCCACTGTTGAGGCTTCTTTGACATTCCATTTCAACGTTAAATTCGACTTTAACTGACAGTTCCATCTTGTGACAAGTCCATTCCTTCAACATAATTCCAGAAGGATCTCCAAGCGTTTTCAAAGAGTTCACTTTTCCCTTTTTGGAGATACGTAATTCGTTCCAGTGGCAAAGTTTTCAGCATTTGTCTGGTCCATTGGATTGTCCCTGGCCTTGAAGTGTTCTTCCAGAAAAGTGCTATCAGTCTTTTGGCTTGAAGTAAACAGACATCAATTAACAACTGTTCATTGGTAAATACATTATTTCTTGGATACAAACCTAAAATTAGAAGATCCGGATCCAGTGCGACATCCTTTGAGATAAGAACTTTTATAATATTGATTATTTCTTTCCAAAATTTTGAATTTCCCTACATTCCCATATACAATGAACCAAGTCCCTTTGTCTTCCAAACATTTTATGCATATGTCTGGTATATTGAACTGAGTTTGAACTGATGTAATTTAGTTGGTGTAATATATGTTCGTATTAACCATTTGTATTGTAGTAATCTTAAACGTGAATTAATTGTTTGTTTCTGAGCTCTTATACAAAACACGTTGCCATTCTGCCATCGTTAGGTTTACACCTAAATCTACTTTCCAGGCTTCTAATTTCCACTTAGAGTCCTCTGGGGAGTTTGAAACTATAAAACTGTAGAATTCTGAAATCGCTCCTTTATTTGTGCCATCTTTGCTAATAATTTGTTCTAGTTGGGATTTTGGTGGCTTTATCAAATCTTTGGATTTTGTTCTAATATAAACTCCTGAGCTGAAGATATTTAAAAAAGTATTTTCTATTTATATTAAATTTCTGCCCGAGTTCTTCAAAGGACATCATATGAATTGAATTTGGTTGATACAGATCCTGAACACTATTTATTCCTTTTGTGGCCCATTTTTTAAATACAGCATCCGCTCTTCCAGGAGTAAAATCTTGATTTCCCCATATTGGAGTAAATTGTGACAATGTAATTAGTTCCTTTGTAAACTTCTTTATATCGTACCATATTTTGATCATGTTTTTAACAAAATGTATCACTTTTTAATTTATGTTAGATACGTACATCACAAAACAGTGTAAATTAAAACAATGTCAACAGAGTACCAAAATAAACAATAGACAAAACAGAAAACAAGTTATCTCACTCAGATGTGATGTTTGACTGTGGTCAACATCAGCTGTACCCAGATCATCATCCAGGGTTGAGTGGGTTTCTCTTTTATTTCTGAACATTTCCACTAAATTTAAGCATTTGTGCTCTAAGCAGAGACTTTGCTTTATTATGCATTGGGCCATTCATCAAGATCTACTATAAACTCTGAATTAATATAAGTTACAACAACATTTAAGTTTCCATTGGGATTAATAAAGTATTTTGATTGAATTTGAACTCCAGTCCTTATGTGCCACTGTCCTTTGGATCCAATCCAGCTCTAACCACAAGTCAAACTGCTGAATGTCAGTAAGTCCTACAAAGGTCTGATAATTAATTATTCACTTGATTCAGGAGTGTTGGATGCATCTAAAATGAAGAACAGTGGCACTCGAGAACTGGAGTTACAGAGACCTGCTGCTCTGTAACAGGCATCACACAAGTTCCTGTGACACCTGCTGAGTCTGGAACATCAACCTGCACTATCTTTTTTCCTGTTATGGTTCAGTTGGAAACAGTAAACAGGACTACATCCGGGAGGAGGAGGAGAGCTGTCACAACCTCAGCACTTCCTAAGTGATTAGATTTCACTTTTTCACATTTCATTTTCTTGTGGTGCAGGAGCGTCTAAGGTAAGACAAAAGTCTTTTACAAGTTTATTTTAAAGTCAGTTTGGATTTTGTATTGGCTGCTTTATGCAAAACAAAAACAATTGTTTTGTTTATTGACACTAAGGTAAATTAATATTTTTGAAGAGTAGTTTGATATTGGATTATTAATGGAAGTATTTCCTCTAAAATTCTCAAACTTACTTTGAGCTTCAATTTCTTGTGAAGCTTCTTTGATGGACGTTTCTAGTGGAAATGAGATCATGTTGCCAGTAAATTTTTCTAGACGTAATAATAATAATGATTATTTAATTTTCCTTTGAGGTCAATAAAGTATTTTTGAAATTACTGAAAAAAAATCTACAATTGCAAAACTTCTATAAATATTTTGTCTCTGGACTTCAGCTTCAGTAACAAAGCAAAGATATTTTTGCACCAAAAATACCTCCATACAAAACTCTGTTATTAATGACCTTCAACAACATAATATTTGTCATCTTCTATATTCCATTGCTATTGTTTGAATGTTTACATCACATCATTATTGAATGAAGGCACAAACTGAGGTGACCATGAAAAAAATGAAAGCAAATGGTTAAGAGAATGAATAAAGACTTAATTTATTATTTCCTTGTCAATTTTCCAATGACATTTTTCTAACTCATTTGTTGTTGGCTGTGTTGTACAACTACCAATATAGAAACACTGTTTTTAAAATTGTACATTAGTTACTTTTTATTTTCACTTGAGTAATATTATAAAGTAGTTTTGCTACTCTTACTTGAGGAAATTTTATGACTGCTTGATTTCATTGAATGAAGGCTGGATTGTGTTGAATGCACTAGAGAAATCAAAACATCATGATCCTCACAGTTCTGCCTGCTTTGTCCAGCTGACTCATCTGTTTATTTGTGTTTGAGGTGGAATGTATGCCTAAGTTGATGTTGACCTGAATTTGAAAACATGGAGGCATCTGATGACAAAGAGGAAGTTTCTTGCTCTGAAACAACTTTATGCAAGAAACAAGAGGGCAAGAGGTGAGACATCATATCTCTTCATGTTTGTGAGAAATCACAGACATTACTGTTACTAACATTACTAACTTTGTCTATAAGGAAAATGGAGTGTATGGTCACTATTATTTTTAACTCAGGAAGATTAAAATTAAAATGCTAGATATAATTATGAATATTAATTAACTCAAGAAGTTTGTTTCTGACAGGAAATGTAACAGGTGTCTGACTGGCATTTATATTCTCATCCACAGGAAACAACAGAAACAGGAATCTGGACCAAGTTGTCTGTCCTTCAAGAGCAGCCGCTCAAAAGATGCCATTCTTCGTTTTAATCTTGACCAACCTTCAGACGCAAACAGGTGAACTTCATGTAAATTGTCTCATGTTCTTTCAAAATGCATTCTGTTCTTGGAAGTGGAAAATGTTATAATTGTATTTTATTATCAAATCAATGTGTTGCAAATCCATCACCACAAAACCATCATGAAGTTAAAGGGATATGGAAGATAAAATAAATGACAAAGAAATGTTCTGTGCTCAACGGTTCCCCCCATAAAGTTCCTTCATAAGGTTTTAAGAAAACATATTTGTTGTAATAAATTAATACAAGTGTCATTAGTGCTCAATGTGACATCTGCTGCCATCGGACTCTTTCCAGATTAAATATTAATTAGAATTGAAAATGCAAGTTCCTAACAATTGGAATATATTAACAATTATTGCTCTCAAGTTGTCTTTTGATAAATCACTGTTGCACACCCCTGATATGTTGTGCATCTCAATTCTATAAATTCATATGTGTTTAGAAACTCCTTCCAGAAAACCATCCACCATTATAAATATTTCTGTGTCAGAAACATCAGCTGAAAGTGTCTTGTTTACATGGTATCAGGCTCATTATCCATTTAGTTTCCATGTTGGAAAGTACAGTTTTGTTTGTCTTAAGAAATTAAATGTAAATACATCTGTTGACTAAAATGCTAAACTGTTAGCTACATGACAGTTGTCTTATGGAGCACTCATGAGCTTATGTAGGTGTTAGTGATTCAGTTTGTCCTGGGATTTTTGGAAGCTAATTCTCAGTGGTTTCTTCTTAGATTTGATCAGATCTCTGAAGTTGGTCAACATCCCTATGAGCATCAAATGCAGCTGGGCTCCATATTTATGGTCTGTATACCATAGATACAACATTTTCATTTCTTTTTTAGTTCTGTGATGCACTTTGT